AGCCAATCTAAGGTGAATATATGTTTAGTTTCTGCATTAGCTTTCTAGCACTATGACAAAATATCTGAGAAAAATCGACTTAAAAAGGATGAAACATTTATTTTTGCACCGTTTCAGGGGTTTCAGACCATGGTCACATGACTTCACTGTTTTTCAGCCTGTGATGAGGGCAAATATCATGTGGTAGAGAAAAACTGATCATATTATGGTGGCCGAGAAGCAAAGGGAGAGAGGAGGAAGAGCAGAGGTCCTAAAATCTCCCCAATGGCACCCCCAACTTTCCTGGCTTCAGGCCCTACCTTCCAAAGAAGGCACAACCTCCAGAGCATGCCACAGGCTGGCAACCAGGCCTTTACCACGTGGCCAGTAGGGACATTTGCAATCCCAGCTACAGTGGTATCATCTCATTATAGGTGGGAGTTAAAGTTGAACTTGTAGAATTTCAAAATAAAGTGGCAATGCAGAGAAGTCCAATTTTAGAAAACAATCTTATTTCTTGCTTTTCTAAGTTGTTCAGGTTCACCTCACTGGAGTTCCCATACACTAGGGGAGTCCAGCTGATTCTCCCCAAAGTATTCCAGGATGACATTACTTTTCTCTTAACCCCAAGTATTCTGAGGCTTGATATAGGGACATTGAGTGCATCTGCCTCAGAGCTGAGTCACATTAACTGCTTCATTCGGCTGATGTCTAATAACTAGGAATTCTTGTTGCTTGTTTATAGTGGGGAATATAATTGGCACATTGTCCAAAACATTTGTGTTGGCACACCCAGGGCCAAAATGTGATTAGAAGATTGTATGCTAAACATAAGATCAAAACAGAGAAGTTAATGTTAGATAAATCAAGTATTTGGTAGCATTAAGCTAAATAGGTGGCACTGTTTTCACACCAGAGGAGGTTTGTCCTCAGTGGAGAAATATTTAAGGTCTGCAGGGTTCACCCCCATCCCCCCGAACTACCTGCAGGACATAAATGAACACATTGCCAATGGTGGTTTTCCCTTTGCAATATCTTACATCTGTACTCCTTTTCTTATATATTTCATCTACCTGATCACAGAGATCCCTTGTGTTTCTAATTCCTAGCCTAAAGGATAATCTCATTTCTCAGTTACTTGGATAGTGAAGAGCCATCTCATATACTAACAAAAGTGGGTGCGCATGAATTAGATGTCTTCAAATAAGAAAAAGAAAAAAACGGTCTTGAGGAAAAACAGAACTGTGATTAATTTCTGCAACTGCTACATAAGGCAGCCAGCTGCTTTGACTTGCGGATCAGTTGTAGGTTGGTTTCTTGGATAGAAAAGCTTTGCAGTTGTGTCCTATAGAAACTGTGGTCCAGGAAAAGAAGAGTTCCTGTGGGATGATGTAGATTGGAGTAGCAAGTGGCCACTAGCTCACCATTGCTGGTGTACTCATCTTTCTTTCTTAAGATGGGGTTCTGATCTTGGGCCAGAGATTGATTTAGCAACAGTAAGGTGTAAGACCCCATAAAGCTGCTTGATTGAATCAAGAGGAGAAAAACATCGTATGTGTTGTTTTTCTGCATTTTCTCCTGAAATGATTCTTCATTTCCCATCACAACTTTACTACCCCAGGCTTTAGTTCCTCTTTAGGCTAATGGCTTTAAAATTTGGTTGTAGGATGACTGCTTGGCAGCCTTAACAACCAGTTAGAGAGTTGTTTAAGATACAAACCCTAAGATTCTGATTTAGGGGCCCAAGTTTCTGAAAGAGAGGCCCAAGAGAATGCATTTTTTAAAAGCTCCCCGTGCCAAATACATATGTACAGACAGGTTTGGGACACTTTTGAAGAGACACTGTACTTATTGCCATGAAGCTACAACAGTATCTCTTTTACTTTTTGGTTTTTCCCTTCCAATCCACTATCCAGCACACACTGTTAAATGCGTGCACACATTATTTTATTAATATTGCCCTGCAAGAAAATTACTTTTCCTTAAAATCAATTTAATAATCTCTACTAGTGAATTTCCTGATGCTAAAATCTATAAATGTTTCTTCCTTGTAACACTTAGTACAGTGCCTTCCGTATGAGACCTTTTACTTATATGTAAAGAGTTTTGTATCAGTGAGTGAGAAAATGAGACTTTGGTAAATAAAATTGGGTTTTACATTTACAAGTACTTGCTGGTCTTGATGGCTACATTTATTCAGTTGCTTCAAGTTTAGAAGCACATTTATTGTTCATATTGTAGTAGGAAGATCAATAAAAATGTTTCCAATTTTAAGCAAACTTTTTGTTATTCAAGCACTTGATGCACACACATTCCATCACTTAGATCTTTTGATGCAGGAAGTAGGTGAAGATATCTCCACATTGCAGTAATTAGACTGAAGGTCAGGAATTTTGAGATTTCTCTACCAGTCACATATACCCACAAATTACATGTTGAAAGCAAAATTTGAACTCAGCCTTGTTTGATTCTATAACTTGGGTTCAGTGAAGTTACCAGTTTTATTTTTCTTCTTCTAATTTTTCCCATATGTCCTTGGCCACTGAGTATAAGTATGAAAAACCAATAAAAGGTCACCAGTTTTTAAAAGAAGAATATGATTCCCTAAAAGTTTGGTAAAATATGCTTGTCTCTTTCCTTTGCTTTTGATAGATTTTACACAATAAAATTATAGCTTTCTATTTAACTACAGTTTTGGAGAACTCTGAATCCAAGATGTAAAAAGCAAACCCAGACAGACCAATTCGGGAGGTTCTGGTCAAAGAAGGCTTGATGAGTTTAGAATTATGGCTTTCTTTCTGCCTTGCTTATAGAATAATTGAAAGCCACTATGCTACCCCTGGCTGGCTTGCTTTTTCACATTTCTCTAAAATGGTAAGAGGTAGGAGGCCTGGGAGCTAGAAAAGAACTAGTATATGTTCCTTTCTTTTTTAAAGAAAAATGTTCCCAGTAAATTATAATATCTTCCTAGGAAAGTCATAGTGCAAAACATGGTGGGAGTAGTTCTGTCTGCTAACTTGCAGGAAATCAGAGCATATCACTTAGTGATCTGCACATTGAAAATTAGATCTCTTTACATTCTTGTCATTTTTTCTTAGCCAGAATGAAGAAACTGGAGGGAATGATAAAAAAATGTCATGCCCCAAACACAAGGAGTCCTAGGTATAGATCTATGATATCTAGATCTATAGATATGTATTCTTGATGTATATATTGATATATGTTCTTTGGTGCCAAGTAAGAAAACCTGCTCTATTACAGAATTAAAACTAGGAGAAATTTCTTTAACCAGAAGGATGCTCTTTTAAAATCTATTTCTTCCTACCAGGCAGTTACAGATGTGGATAAGGTATGGGTGGTAGTGTATCTTGTTTGTGAATCTTGTATTGAGAGAGATGTTCCCATTGTCTCCCTTCATAAATCACGAGAATTTAAGTGAAACTTTTGATGTGGTTAGCAGTCAACTCCTGGAGGACAGAGACCATATATATTTCTTTTCTAACTCTAGAAATGAACATAAGGTGGCATATGGTAGGTATTTGTTTATCAATTGGCTCAATTTTTATAGCCATCTGATCAACTTTGAGCTACTATTATTACTGTATATGTGTTTGTGCTGCTGATCCATATACAGAATCTCTGAATTATCTCTGATTAGTCACAGACTACTTATAACTACAGTGATAGAATAGAGAAAGTTTGCTAAGTTGCTGTTGAGCTGTACGAAAGCAGGGTTAGTATTCAGATTGACCTTGCAAGCAAAATTAAGAATATCAGAGAAGTACAAAGCTAAATATAACATGAGGGCTTTGTGTGTGTAAGTTTTTTAGGGGTACTTGTTGTGAGTCAGCAATATACTACTATATTTTCTTAATTATTGGGCACCCACTGCCAGTTAACCACAGGAGCATAACATATTGGAACTTCTGGGTAACATTTCCAAAACACTTAGCATTAGTCATATGCTTTTTTAGAATTCTGTATCCATTTTGGCTGAAGGAAAATATGGAGAGTTTGACAAGGGTCCAGTGCATGGCAAGTCCATGCAGGGGAGGGCTGGAAAATAGAGTCCATTCCAAGAGACTGATAAAGAAGAGTTCATTATTTAGCCCAATCAGAGTGCTGAAGGGTGATTCAATTAATGGTCTTCTAGTGCATATGTAGTTATTTTTTTTGTATTAAATTCTTTTATTGGTACATTGTAAGTATACAACACAATTACATTTCTCATTGGGAATTGTACCTTTACATAATGCATCTTGGTTCTTATTTTTTCCCCATTCCTAGCCCTCCCTTCACCCCCTCCACCCTTCCCTATTTACAAAGACTTTATTTCCATTTTTTCCATTTCTCAGCTTTTTCCTTTCCCTTTCTTTCCTTTCCCCTGCCCCTCCCACTACCCCTACCCCTATGGACCTTTTCTTCCTATTTTGCATTATCGATTATTCATTCTAATCATTGGTACATTTTAGGTATGCAATATAATGACATTCATCATTGGAAATTGTGCATATGTAGTTATTATGTAGAAGTTGATATAATTATTGCCATTATGAATGGAATTAGGTAAATGGATTTCCATTAGGGTTAACAGTGATTTTGAAAGAGCATAAAGAACTTCCTGACTTTCAGTATTGTCGAACAGTGGGAAGACTTCTCAACAGGAAGTGTGAAAACCTTTTCCTTGCAGAATAGGATTAGGGGTGGTTACCGCTTGCCAGTTAAGCGTGGTGCAGTAGGGGTAGAAATTGCCAAGTGTCCTAGATCCCATTTCATACTGCTTGTCTCACAGTGTTTGACAATTTCAAGGAGTAAATGGGTATTCCCTTTTTGTTTGTATTTTTGCATAGCTTTTACGAATACAAGACCTTGCTTTTAATGTTTCTCTGATGCATTTCAAGTAAGTAAAAGGTTAAACTGTAAATTGAAAAGTACTTTAACTGCAAATCTGCTTGCTGCTTATTCTTATATGAGCCTTATAATATTATCAATTCCAATTATTTTTTATTTTCCTTCTTTAGAAAATTCACTGTGTGCCCTCCTTGCTGGTTCTACAATGAGTGCCAAATCTGCCATCAGCAAGGAAATTTTTGCACCTCTTGATGAAAGGATGCTGGGAGCTGTCCAAGTCAAGAGGAGGACAAAGAAAAAGATTCCTTTCTTGGCAACTGGGGGTCAAGGCGAATATTTAACTTATATCTGTCTGTCAGGTAATGCAAATCACATTGATGTTATTAAAATAACTTCTGTTTTAAAACATTTAATTCTTCTTCTAAGATATCCAGAACAGTTGTATTAATTTTCTAAGTATCTGCTCTCCCACTTTTCTTTCCTATTTTCTCTGGTGTCTTCTTCTGATCCTTATTTGCTCATGACATCCCTACTTTTGAGGTTGCTTTATATTGAAAGGTAGTGAAGTTTAATCTTAATGCATTTTACAGCTCATTAAGGGTTTCTGCAAAGAGTTTGGCAGACATTTATTTGTTCATACTTGCTTTCATAGGAAATGGTCTTTTCCTCTGGGGATTTTTGTTTTAGAACAATTCTTGGTATTTGGATAATTGTCATTACTAGCAGCCTGAGTTTCATTGACTTTCTTTTTTCTAGAACATTGCCAATAATTAGTAATAGTTTTCCTTGGGATAAATATTGGCACTTGATGGAATGTGAGAAAGAAGTGTTCACAAATCTTGGCTTTGCCTGACAGCTGTTGCCTTGTCAGGAAGAAGCATCTGTTTTATTAAGCTTAGAATTTTGTTGGATTTTTTTTTCTTGTTTGTGATTATAAGAGATCTGTGGGATTTACTGTGGATTCATACCAAGTTTTCTCATGGTAAAATTTGGTTAAATTTTCCATGGAATTATGTGAGATGCTAATCTAGACACCTGAGGCATTTATAATATTTTTAATAGTATGTCTGCTAATGGAACTATGGAAGAATTAAGCTTACTTTACTTCATCTTTTTAAAATTGCTTTCATGTGTGGTGTAGGAGTAAAACTTCATTTTTTGGACCCATTTTTACCTTTAAAAAAATAAGCCTCTGATTATTTAAATTTGTCAGAATTCATTTCAACCTGGAAATAGCTTTTATCAGAAAAAACATGTGAATTTATCTTAGATTAAAATGAAATAAGAACATAGAAATTTGGAAACAATGACTTTCAATGCTTAGAAGAAAGCATTTGAATGCATATAAAGGAATCAACCTTGAAACACTGGTCTCTCTTTTCTAAAGAAGGAATTGGTTGATAAAATTTGGTCATTGTTAGGAGATACATGTATTTCTTTAGTGTTCTAAGCAGTGCCTGGCATAAAGGAGGGGCTCAGTATCTAGTGACTAAGTGAAAGAAATAAGTAACCTTTAATTAATACCTAATATTCTTTTGTAAGATTTAGGTCTTCGATATATTTTTATATTCTTAAATTTAGATTCTAGAGTTTGTTTCTGCCAATAATGTATAAAGTACATGCTCTTTGTTATTTTGTCACTGAAACACAATACCCAACACCAACAAATTAAAGGAGGAAAGGCTTATTTTGACTCATGTTTCAGTCTATAATCAGCTGGCTCCAAGGTAGGACAGCATGGCTGAGGGGAATGGGGGAGAAAAGCTGCTTGTGGCATGGTGAACAGGAAGGAGAGAAAGTAAAGGGAAACTGGGAAGGGAGATTTACCCTTCCAGGTCACACCCTCTGTGACCTACCTCTTCTGACCAGACCCCTACCTCCTGTCAAGTATAATGTTCCCATAATCCGGCCACCTTCCCAAAGCCCAACCTATGAGCACATGAGCCCCTTGGAGGACATTTAGATATAAACTACCACACAGGCGAATAATTTTTTCTTTTTTTTTTGTACTTGGGACCTTACACTTGCGAGGCAGGCAGCAGAGCCACTGAGCTAAATCCCCAGACCTTTGCCAATAAATTTTATTTTGTATTTGGGCTGAGTTGAACATAGAAAGAGCACAGATGTATACTTCTGTTTTTTTAGTGTCTAATCACTCAATGTTTCCTTGAGATTTCTTGCAGATGGGTAGTTGAAGAAAAAATCAATGGTCTAGAAGCCACTTGAGTTTTGCCCTGTGTAATAGGTATGATCAAAATATATGGCAAATATTTAAATGAAAACAATTATTAAAGTAAAAGACCCATTGCCATTAATTCCTCTCCAAATACTCTCCATTGATTTGACCATACTTTTTTCTTCATTCTGGTCACTTTCGGAAATACTGGAAGGCCTCTTTCATGAGTGTCCTTATGAGGTGCAATTAAAAAGAAAATGTGGCCAATGTGGCAACTAAAAACACTCATGAAAGAGGACTTCTCAGAAATTCTTCAGAAAGTAGCAAGGATGATGGGATAAATGTGTTCGGAGCAAAGGGGAATATTTTGAGGAGGATTAATGGCAATGTATCTTTTACTGTAATAAAATATTAAAATCTGAAGCATTCACTGTATGTTTGATCATTCCACTTTTTCCTATAACTGAAAGAGAACTCCTTTCTTTGAATTTCAGACATATGCTATTGTCTCCTTATTGTTGATTGTGCAAGGGTGACAAGGGGCCTCTAACAGCCTCATCTCATTGAAACAGCATAGCCATTTCCCTTGCCATGGAAGATAATGACCTGGGACTTACTGGGTAACTGAATTTGCTTTACACTTCACCAAGACCTTCAGGTTTAAAATATTAAACTATGAGGACTGCTTTTTCCTTGCATTCTAATGAAAGAAAATTTCTTGTTCTGAAAAATCTTTCTTTTCATGGTTTTGAATTTTGAGAGGCTGGATAGATAAAGTAGATCTGACATTTCATCAGATGGTACAATGGAAATTGGGACAGGAAAAGGCCAGGAAACTTTGACACTGTTTTTGGAGTTTTAATTTTTTCTTACAAGTGACTGAGAAGTAATCACCACTATTTTCTAACTTACATGAAGTTTAGAGGCATATAAGTCCCAATAAGGCAATGTTACCAGTCCCGATAAGGTAATGTTTTAATTAGCAGTTTGTGAATTAGTCAATTTTTATTAATTAACTTCTATGTGCTGAGCACTCTAGGTGCTGAGGGTATAGTTATAAGAAAATGTCATTAGTTCCACGGAGAAGAAGCAGTAATACATTAATAAGTTACTTCCAAAAATGAACAGATTTATAAACTGTGAAAAGAACCCAAAGGAAAAATATAGATAAGAATATATCAGGGGAGTTTGACCTGGTTCAGGAGAAACAAGAGCTTTTAGAAAAGCAGGGCTTCACTGGATTTGAAGAATTGTGTGAGTGAGCAGGCATTACAGGTGGAGGGAATGGCAGCTTCATTAACAGACTAAGCAGGATGTTGGGTTTCTTCTTTTCTCCTATACGGTGTAGGGATGACTTCTTTGTAGTCCACCACAGACAGCAGGCTGTGAAGTGAGAGCTGATCCCAGGAATGACAGTCTCCTTCCTGCCATTAGCAAGAACTTCCTATGGTTTCTAGGAGGCCAGGCCCTTCAACTATTGTGGTGGGGCTGATGAAAAGCAGCTCTTCATCTTGAATAGGCAGACCTTGTCCAAATTAGGGCAAGGTCTGGAAATAATTTTGAAACACTCTTCAAATATCAAGAAGCATTAAGGTAAAGACCAAAAAAAGAAAGCAAAAAACAAGAATGAAAGTATTCTCTTCTGAGTGCATTATATATCCTGTAGGTAGCCAAAACGAAGGTACTAGAGTAGGGGAAATAAGGTGATCTTTCTTGAGTAATGCAGCCTGTAATTCTATCAGAAAAAAATAATAATTTTCCAGTTCATTCATATTTTCTTAAGAATTTGAGTGTTTCTTCTTGGACTCCCTGATTAACTACTCAAATGTTATAGGAATGCTTGTATAGTGAGATGCTTCTATGATTAGTATGCGTAAGCATCAGTTTCCACTTTTCTTTCAGCAATGATAAAAATTTAAAATACTGACAATACTAAGTGCTGACAAGCATGTAGAGTAACACATGCACTCATACTAAAGGGAAGGTAAAAAATGATGTAACTTTTTTAGTAAAAATGTGGGCAGTTTTAATAAAGTCAAACATATACTTCATTCCTAGGCATATATATACCTGAGAGAAATAAAAACATACATCCACATAAAAACTTGTGCATAAGCAATCACAAGTTTTATTCATAATAAGAAAACAGAAATAATTCAAATTTCCTTCTATATATCTATGTTGTTCAATACTCTGGCAATGAAAAGAAGTGCACTACCGATACATGCAGGCAGCGACATGGATAAATTTCAGAAGCATTATGTTGTCTACAAAAAACATAATTAGGTTCCTCCAAGACTAGAGTTGAAGGTTCCAGTTAATCCCCCAGCATCCTTATCAATTAGGTAATGTGCTCTTCATTTCATGGATGAAGGAGCCAGTGTTCCTGAGAGGTCATGACTTCCTGGGGCTGAGGTTTTAGAGATAGCAGGGCTGGAAATCCACCCAGACCCTGACCCCAGTGGTAAACCTCATATTGCCACAGCTCTTCACTTTCTTTGAGTTAGTTCAAGAGGGACTGTGGTATTTTAAGGGGGCAGATTCTTTTCTAACTCTTCACAGCTGACAGAGGCATGGAACACTTTTGACCTATGTATGTAGTGTTATCTCATTTCTAATGTCATTGATTAATAGGCTTTCCTACACATGGAATATTCACTGTGGAGGGCTTTTTATCTCCTTATTATAGAGATTTGGCATATAAATCTAGCCATAAAATTAAGTAACTCGAGAAGACAAGGCAGTAGAAAATAATTATTGCCAATGCCTTATTTCTATGAGTATCCTTAAATCCTTTTTTATTTTATAAAAATGCAATATTCTCCAATATACTGTTTATTGAGAATTCAGCTCTTCTGTGATATGTACATAGGTACTGTTGATTAAAACATTTATAACAACAGCAACCACTGGTTACATGGAGTTAAAAGGAGAGTGTTTTCTTTTGAGATATTTTTTGGCCCAGTAGATTTGGCCACCAGTGGCACTTACAATTGGCCTTCACTGTAGTATCTACCATGTACTCATCACATTCTTCAGTAGTTAATGTGGAAAGGACTAGTGATAGTAATAATGGTGTTGACTGAGTTCCTTCTTACCAGCCATGGTTCTATATCCTTTCTGTATAATGACTCATTTAATCTTTGCAACAGTGTTGCAAATGAGGTAAACAAGTCATTTTTT